CCCTGAGGTCTAAATAGGAAAATATCTTTTATAAACTGTAACAAAACTCTCACCTCAAAATAAAGCACTTTGAAATTTACACAATTATATCCTTATTCAACATTTTTGTAATATCCAGAAGCCTATGGGATTTTTAGAAATGTCAATGAAAATAGCTTTACATTCAGAAAATAGAGCTTATTCCCGCACGTCATAAACTGGTACCTGGCACCTGTGCAGAGTCCATTCAATTCTTAACCTGTCACAAAGTCACCCTTGTTAAAAACATACATCCTCAGACACCTGGTATATGCCAGGCAGAACAAGGATTCACATAAAAAAAAAAAAAATTCCAGTGAGATCAGCTTGACCTGTTCATTTGAATGGGGCCTGTTATTCAAATTCCTTAGGGTGGCCCAAAGGCTCACGGGGTTACTGGTAACACCCCCAGGTTTACAGCATCTTTTTCTGGTTTTCATCCAGTTCAACAGATGAAACCAGTTCATGCAGTTCCAGCTTCTAGAACTTCTGCTCAAAAACTGGTGTTAAAGTGCTTCAATGCGACCTCCCAAAATTTCATAAAGCATCACACCAACACAGGCCGCGCTGTGCCTGCGGGTCCTGGCTGCATTTGGTTTCACTCCTACATTTTCTTCAAAACCAATATAAAGGTGTCACATGATGATGAACCAATTTCTCTCAAAAACCAGGTTGTGTTCACTTTGATGAATTACAGTATCTGATACTTTGGCAGACTTGGGGGACATCCCGGTGCCTCTTCAGGGTAAAATGCTGATTCTGTGCTTAGCCTGGCACCAAACTACGAGAGATTCAGCTCTCACCCTGTGGCCAGGGGCTGAATGCCTGGTGGGGCTCCCCGAGCCGAGAGTCCACCCCGGACTCGGCCACTCCACCCCAAGGATGTGCCATCAGCAGCACAGAGGTGGCCCAGCTGGATGGAAATGGTGGTCCCACAGGAGCCGCCTGGGCCAACAACACCTTGCAACAAGAAGACCTGGGTTGGGACACACTGGCTGTGTTACACGTCACACTGGACGGAGGGCTCCCAGTGGGTCTTGGGCTGGTCCATCCTTCAGTACACGCCATCCAAGCAGGTCACACCTGACATCACCTGGGAGACACAGCAGCAGTCACTTTTGTGAGCACAAAACCTGGACTTCCAGTTTGTGTGTGTGTGTGTGGGCACGTGTGTGTCCGTGCACACTCACATCACATCACACACATCCGCTCGCCGCCGAGGGCTGTCAGAGCGCT